ATGGTCTCCTATTATTAAACACTTAGTTTACATAAAATTTTATAGCACATCTGGTATTAAAGTTATAATAATGTTATGGTAAAAACTAGCCTGAACATATCAAAATAAATGGAAAAAAATATATCCAATACTTTAAAAAAGTTTTCTGTAGTGTGAAGTGTCTGTTTTGCATTTCTTTGACTTGGCAAAGCCACTTGTTCCCTTTCTAAACTTTCCTTGGAAGCAGGTGTCACATCTGGTGAAAATAGACCCCTGTATCTGGTGGTCAGAACACGGAGAAAGACACTTTATTAATTTAGAGAAAACAGAATCCTTATCTAGGCTTTTTTTTATTACATTGACTCTACTTATCTCTTTCTTTCTTTTTTCTTTTTTTAGTTGTTGATTGACCTCTATTTATTTACTTATATATGGTGCTGAAAATTGAACCCAGTGCCTCACACATGCTAGGTAATCACTCTACCAACTGAGTCACAACCCCAGCCCTCTTTCTTTTATTTCTTACTTTCTTATTTTTTTCTCCTCCTCTTCTTCCTTTTTTCTTTGCCTAAGATTCCTCCTTTTTCTCCCCCTCTTCCTTCCTTCTGTTTTTCAACTCTTTTCTCACTGCAACCTAAAGAACAGGAGACACTTTTTTTATATATTATTAATAAGGGAATATTTCAGGCTTTATGGAATGAGAATCTTCGCAAAGTATAAACCTCTTTTACTCTGAAAAGTTTGAATCCTCTAAAAGATTTACCCAAATTTCCAGTACAATGAAGTGGTACCACCCACTAGCTGTGTGTTTCCAAGAAGCTCAACCTCTCTGAACCTATTTCCTCAATAGAACACAATGACACTTTCTTGTTAAATTTTATTTTATCAACTAAAAATAATATATTGGGGCTGGGGATATAGCTCAGTTGGTAGAGTGCTTGCCTTGCATGCACAAGGCCCTGGGTTCAATCCCCAGTACCACAAAAAATAGATAGAAAGATAGATAGATAGATAGATAGATAAGTAAATAAATAAAATATACAAAGAGTGCTTGGCTCTTTGGCATTGCCATACAGCAACTCCTGAGTGAGGTCAATAATGGAGTCTGGAAGGATGGAGGTCAATTCATTACATATTCCAATGAAAACGTGTTAATAAAAGACAGGTGTGGTGGCCCACTCCCATAATTGCAACTACTCAAGAGGCTGAAGCAACCAGGCACAGTGGCACACATCTGTAATCCCAGTGGTTCCAGAGGTTGAGGCAGGAGGATTGCGAGTTCAAAGCCATCCTCAGCCATGGCGAGGTGCTAAAGCAACTCAGTGAGACCCTGTCTCTAAATAAAATACAAAATAGGGCTGGGGATGTGGCTCAGTGGTTGAGTGCCCTTGGGTTCAATTCTCAGTATAAAAATAAATAAATAAATAAATAAATAAATAAATAAGCTGAAGCAGGAGGGCACAAGTCGGAGAAGAGCCTGGACAACTTAGTAAGAAACTGCCTCAAAATTTATTTTGAGGTGTAGCTCAGTGGTAGAACATCCCTGGGTTCAATCTCTAGTACCCCTTCTTCCCCAAAAGGAGGGTTTAATAACTTTTTAGAAAGTGCTTGGCATATTGTAGGCATTTAAAAATATGAGTTGTTATTATCTCGCCGGGAGTCATTCTCAGCAGTGACTCTTGGAGCTCAGTCCTTTCTGTACCTGCTCCTCTCTTTAATCTAATATGTGGCTTATTTTTGTGATTTTTTTTGCATTACTGAAGCAGCAGGTCCTTTCTTTCTGAGACCAAGGATTCTTGTTGAGGTCTGAGCATGTGTCTGCTGATCACTGTCTTTCACAGTTAGCTGTTGGCAGTGCCAGGGCAGGAATCTCGGCTACTTAGCCACGGACATGGGGCCCCTTCTTCAGGATACCATATGGCTTCTGAGAGCAGCACTTGATTTTCCTGTAATTGGACTTCTTGTAGAAGGTAATTCACAATAGCATTAGCAGTAACCAATTCTTATAATCGTCAGGATAATCTTTGTCTGTTTTGGGGCAGATGTTTTCTTGCTCCTTGGATAGCTGTGAATATATGAACGTCTCATCAGTAATGTGGGCACTGCCCAAATGGAAATCAGCACAGAAACCTAACAAAATTACAACAGATTACTGCACTGGCTGCCAGCACATTCAATGCCAGACAGCCTGCTTTTGTTTTTGTTTTCACAGTGGAATAGGTTGCAATTTAGAATACGTCTTTGGGGACTGCGAATGAAAATATAGGTTCACACTCAATCAGCAAGCTGTAACCAAATCAGAAGGCACATAATGGCATATTTGGAAGAATGAACACCAACCTAGAAAACTAAAGATCCCCTTCCCTCTTTTTACCTTCACCTTCACCTTCATAATTCAAAGCAAATTTAATACAACTTCATCTTACCCCTGTTATCATGCTATATGTCATGAGGAACGCCAAAGAAGTAAGCGATAGTTTCTGCCCTTTCAGGAAAAATGTGAGCAGTAGGATCGTAATGCCCATGGAATGAATAATTCACCGGGATGGAATCAAATAAGCTGCAAGTCTCTATTCTTGTATGCTTCTATCTATTCTGAGGTCTAAAGGATAAAAGTGACAGAACATTTAAGTTAGATATATTTCCCCCAATACAAAAGTAAACCTTTAGTCCTAACTCTTCTTGCTACTTCTACACATGGTTTTCCCCAGTACCTCTTTGGCCTCTATTATCTACATTTTATAAATTCTCTTAAGAATCCCTGATTTTAAGGGGAGGGGAGGGGGGATAGTAGAGGATAGGAAAGGCAGCAGAATACAACAGACACTAGTATGGCAACATGTAAATCAATGGATGTGTAACTGATATGATTCTGCAATCTGTATACGGGGTAAAAATGGGAGTTCATAACCCACTTGAATCAAAGTGTGAAATATGATATATCAAGAACTATGTAATGTTTTGAACAACCAACAATAAAAAATTAGAAAAAAGAATCCCTGATTTTGTGATAGACCTAAATCATAATCCCATGAAATTAAAACAATAAGATGAGAAACCGTTGTTAGTACCACTGGATACCACAGCAGCTGTCCAATCTCTCGAGCTTTATGCTGCCAAAAGCTACCAGAACTGAGTGTGATCATGCCCACCCTCCACCCTGAAGAAATTGTTAGATTCTTTTTAGAGGGTTAATACTATTGTTGTCCAAACAGCTATTCACTATTTTCTCTATTGTGTTCAATGTACTTTTTTTGGATACACTTTAAAATTGTTTAGAAAAATAAAAATCAGTCCTCTGTTTCCTTAGTCTATTTTCTATTGCTATAACGGAATACCTGAGACCAAATAATTTAAAAAGGAAAGACATTTATTTGGTGTCCAGTTCTGGAGGCTGGGAAGTCCAAGGGCGTGGTGTCATCATCTGCCCAGCATCTTAGTCAGGGTCTTCTTGCTTCATGGTAATGTGGCAGAGGGCATCACATGGCAGGACAGAGCAAGCATGCCAAAGAGCTTGTTTTTATAACAAAGTCACTTCCTTGATGCCCATTAATGCACAAACCATCTCCCAGTCACTTCCAAAATGTCCCACCTCCAAATACTCTTAACATGGATTTTTAATGTATAAATTCCAGCCCTAGACCCTGGGAATCATGAGTTCTTTATGATTTAGATCAGTTTTGTGTTCTCTACTTATTTTAACCAAACAACATGTCCAGATTTAGCAGATCAACTTTTATTTCAACACCATGGAGTTTAGAAAGAGCTTTAGAAGGCAATAAAAAGACAAATCTCTCAAGAAGCCTGGGGCAAGGTCCTTTACTTCCATTTTTCCATCAGTCACCAGGGCACAATTTCCAGCCATACAGAATCTCCATGCCATCCCTTCAATGCTTCCCATTCACAGTATGGTTGAGCAATGAGGTGACCAGTCTATAACAGGATGAGAGGTAGGCAAATTAAGTGATCTTCAAAGTCTCTTTGAGCTAAAATTTAGTCATCATGACCATGAGATACTCCAGTATTTCTCTATATATTCTTCACATTTGATTTTTAAAATGTCATTTTTTACATATATTAGTTTTAGTATATGTTCTGGATTAAATTTGGTCTAAAAATAGTTTTGACTCTAAATTTATATGCTACTTTATGTAATAAAATGAAATAATAAATATTTAAAAATGCTAATCAGTTTTAAAACTTCATGCCCCATGAAAATCAAAATGTTGTAACTCACCTGGTATGCCATATGCACAGTGATTAAAGTGAGATTGCTAACAAATCTAAATGCATTATTAGATGTCAAATACTGTTGCTTTCTGTTGAAATGCAACTTTAATATACGTAGAGTTTAAACTTCACCATTAACACTATTTGTTCTGGAATGAACCTCCCTATGAGAATCACTAGTCTTGGAATCTAACCAAGGAAGTTTAGCTACTGCATTGCTAACAAGAGACTCTTGGTGAGGTGATTTTCCAAGTAGTCCTAATAGTGCTAGGACCCACCTCTTTTCCTGTAGGCAATCATATATTTATACCAAATCACTATACTTCATATCCAATCAAAAGGATGCAGGGAAGTGTCCGGGTCAACTGATGCCATCTTGACTGACATCAAGTACCTTTTCCTTTTTTTGCAATTTCCAGCTCAACGGTATCTTAGAGTACATTGTGTCTCGAAGTCCACAAACTTGAAGCTAAGCCTTTCCTGCTATAAATTCAACCTGTTTCCTCATTAATATAAACAAAATGCTCAATTATAACTCTCCTCCTTCATAATCCCTTCATGGAGTCTGAGGCTTTGGTCTTCCTATTTCTTTCTACCTTTGGAAAAGGACATTTCAAAAGTTCCACCATTTTAATGGTTTATCTGGTATCTACACCAAACTTAAAAACTGAGCAGAGATTCCTCAGAATTGCATGAGTGTTCTATGTGCCAGGCACTGATGACAATATTGTGTTTTACATATATAATTCCTTCATTTATTCCTTAGTAGTTGTGTTGTCCTCATTTTACAGATTGCCGGAGAAAACTGAATCCAGGAAAGCAGAATTTGTGCTCATAATAACCTCTACTCTGCGCCTCTGGTTCCTGTGTTGAGATTGCTTGGGCGCTCATTTATTCAGTACTGATGACACACATGTACCTAATGGCCTTCAGAACATTCTTTTGGTAAGTATCCTTACCGCAAGTCAAAAAGAAGGCTTGTGACATACTTAAGTAATCTGAGCAAGAAATATTGTAAATATGCCTGACCCATTAGATTCTCCTTCCAGACCACTCCCTCTGTTTTGTGTTTTTTGTGAGGTTTTTCTTTTTCTTCTTTTTTTTTTGAATACTTTCCATATTTATCTCCTTTTTTTTTCCATGTTGAATACCTCGAATTTCACTTTATCTACCAGATTTGTGTGTGCAGCATTTAAAAATGAACTATACTAGAGGCTATATAGAAAACTATAGAAAATTTTAGACTAGACTTGGAAGTTGAAAAGTAAAGTAACAATTGATACAATTCCAGATATAAAAATAGCATATTCTTCTGAATCTTTCATAAGATTAAAAGAGTTCCTTAGGAACAATTTTTGGCATGTCACATTCACCTTAACTGCTACCTGATATAAATGAATATTTTCAGATAATTAGGACAAAGGTAATAACTTCAAAGTAATAGAGATCAAAAAAAAAAAAAACTGAAACCATAGTTTGAGGCTAACATTATAATTTCAACAAATCTAAATTTAATGCTTCATCTACCAAGGAACATCCTTGATACTGGAACTGGGATAGTTCACATCAGTGACCTCTTTGTGTCACTGGTGAGCTTTTCTTGACTCCTTTCTGCCCCCTCTCTCTCCAACAGGTTTCCACTCAACTGCTACTAATATTCTTGCAAAGATCCCTAGAGAATGCTTTTTATCAAAATTAATCTGTTCCCAAGATAAGTAGTATTCTGTGTGAAAAGAAAGTTTCTGGTTAATTTATGTTGCTTAGAAAACCAAAACAGATAAAGGCATCTCCTTTAAAAATCACTACCAGACTGTAATATAATCAGGAACTGGGCAAATTCAACAATAGAAGGAAGTCAAATAGGCTGACCTTTCCCAAGTTGTTTTAAAACTGACATGTGAGTGGAAGTTACTGGTATGGTTTTGTTGTAGCCTCTGTTTTCCTAAGGAATTTGGAATCTGAACAGGGAAACAGCCTTTTCTTTAAACTTAGAGGAGAACAAGAAAGAATACACTCATCCTTCTAGGGAGATGAACGTTATTCTGGCTGGGATGCTTCTCCCCGAAAGACATAAATACAATCACCAACAAGAGGTATTATTTCTCTCTTATCATTAAACTACACTGTCCTCAATACTGGTAAAGCTTGAGGGAGTAATGGTGTGAAAGTAGCATTAGAAATCACTGAGTTCATATATGGCCTCATTTTTCAAGTTTAGTCTAAAAACTGTAGTATTTCAAACATGACTGAAAGTATTTACTTTTGCATCATCATATCTGTCTATAGAAACTGGGATTTCTGGGTTTTCTGATATGATACTAACACACTGTGTGCTGTGTATTGTTTGTCTTTTCATTGAAATATATTAACAAATTACATAAAGTAAGAATAGTTATTAAGCCATGTGTTTTTATTTCAGTTTATAAAATATGGTCTCTGGAATCATGCCTTAGTGTTGTAAGAAGACATACCCAATTTTTGTTTGAAAAGTCAAAAAGGATTGTCCCAAATAAAATGGTGTCCGTATATTTTTGACAACCAATATTAGAAACAGAATCCATATCTTCATTGAGGATTGTTCCATGTTTGAAATCTTCAACTTCAGACCAATCATCACATTATTTTCTACTCATTTAGCTTTACCACCTTTACTCCCATTACCATTGTTTGAGTCCTCATGGGCACTACTTCTTTTCCATTGTCTGCCTCCCTTTCCTCCAGACTCTTGTACAGGACCGAAAGGCCCAGGGCTTTATCAGCTATCAAATCAGTGTCTTTCCATATTCTTTTTCCCTTTTCCCATATCTGTGCTCTCCATCTTCAGTCCCATTCACTATCTGTTTCCTCTACCTGAGTAAGTAGAGAAAAATCTCATTGCTGTGTTGATGATATTGTTGTGAACTCATAGTTATTCTACTTGTTCTTACTTCTCCTACTCACTTCCTATGGAAATGCTGCTAGCTCTTTTCACTACCTTCAAGTCCTCCTCTTTCTCAAAAACTCATATTCATGGGATGGACTTACCTCCCCTTTCACATAAAAGTAGAAGCCATCAGTGTTGACTCCTGTCAGTTTCTTCTTACTGCAACTTACCAATATGTGAAGATCATCTGTTGCTCTTCAAGACCCACCCTGAATCATTCTCTCCCAGTTCAGGTAGTCAATCCTCTAGTCTGAGCTCCAATCATGTTAATGTAGTCACTATCAAAATAATAGATTTTTCAGGGATAGATTTCAAATTTCCTGCTCTCTTCCAAGTATATTTTAATTTTTAGCTTAGGAAATAGAGCCTATCATGCTTGTCATTATAATTTTTAGAGTTCAACATTTTAAAATAGGACAATTTGAATAGTCATGCTGTTCAAAATCAACAGATATAAGGAGAAATCATTGAACATTCTCCCATACTTGTACCTAGCTACCCAGTTTCCTATGTATTTGCTAAGGTATTTTTGGCATGTGTAAGTAATTAGGCATATTCTCCTTTATCCACACTTCTTTGAGGTTTTTTTTGTTTTGTTTTGTTTTGTTTTTTTGGTACTGGGGATTGAACCCATTGGTGCTCAACCACTGAGCCACGTCCCCAACCCATTTTTAAATTATTTATTTATTAATTATTATTATTTTTTTAAGACAGTGTCTGGCTAAGTTGCTTTGGGCTTCGCTAGGTGGCTGAATTGTTGTAGGAAATTTCTGACTTACACTCTGCCAATAAAAAAGTCATTGTTCTTCCATATTCTGGATTTGAACTCGAAATTCTCCTGCTTCCATCTGCTGGGATTATAGGCATGTGCCCCCATGTCTGGCACAATCTTTGTATATATAGATATTGTCATATTATACATATTGTTATACAACCATCACTTAACAATAGATACTAGGAATTTTTACCAATCAGTACATAAAATATTACCTGTTTTTATATTATAGATGCATAGACTGGTAGATTTAAAGACAGTCCGATTCTTTGTCACTTCTCTAATCAAGATCAGTCCTTCTCCAGTTTCTTCCCTTTGTATTTGGGCTAGCTTTATAACCTATTTTGCTCAATACAATGAGGTAGTAGTATATAACTCATAACTTCTACCTGTGTAACTTCTGAGATTGGTCCTTGAGAGTTATAGCTTTATACCTGGGGAACACTCTCTCTGGGAAGTTAGCTACAGTGCTGGAAGAAGCCCAAACCATGAACAGAGGCCACATGGAGGACAGCTAATGCTAATATACAGTCAACAATTTTAGCTGACATTCCAGCCAACAGCTAGCCCCAAATGCCAGCCATGTCAGTGAGCCATCTTGGACATTTCTAGCCTGGTTGAGATGACAATAATCCTAGCCAATGTTATGCAGAATGGAACTTCCCAAAGAAGCCCAGTCACCCATGAAATTGAGAGGGAAAATAAAATAATCATTGTTTTAACTTACTATGTTTGGGGATGGTTTACTAGCCCTAGATAATCAAAATTTATGGTAATCCCCTCATGTGAATGTACCCTAATCTACTTAATCCAACCTCTATTGATGGTCATTCAAGTTGTTTCTACTCTTTTTCTATTAAAGCAATGCTACTATTAATAATAAAGTGCATGTCATTTGGCATGTGTAAGTATAGGATGAGTTCCTAAAAGTAGATTTTCTGGATATAAGAGAATGAGCATTTATATTTTTGTCACAATATTGTTGTAGGGGATTTCTGACTTACACTCTACCAATAAAAAAGTGATTGTTCTCCCACATCCTCACTAACATTGTGTGTTCCCAGAGGTTTTGATTTTTGCTAATATCATAAATAGAAAATGACATACTTTTAATTTTTACATATATATATATATATATATATATATATATATATATATATATAAATCTTAGCACATTTTGATGTGCTTGAGAGCCATTGTATTTTGACTGAACAGCCATGTCCTTTACCCAGATGATATTGGGATGTTAGTATTATTAATTTATAAAAACTCTTTTGAAAATTTAAACTTTTATTTATGAGTTGAAATTTTTCCTCCAGTTTGTATTTTCTTTTTACTTTATTTGAAATCATGTTAATTTTTTACTTTTATGAAGTTATTAGTGGAGTCTTTCCTACTCTGATAGTTAGAAATTGTGCCTCGGATTCTTCTAGTACTTTTTCAAATTTTAATTATTTTTAACATTTAAATCTCTGGGACATGGATCTATACTATTTTTCCCCAGGTAGTTTTCTGTTATACTTTGTTTTCTATTTGCAAGACTTGCCTGTTTCCTATATGTTCCTCAAGCAGAAAACTTGACTTTTTTTCCTTGGCTGTATCCTGAAAACCTAGCAAAATAGCTCACATCTAAAAGACTTTCGATAAGTTGATGTTTTGTTATTGAATGTTTAAATTATGTTTCACATCTGACTTGTTTTCATGTTTACAAAGGGCATTGATAACCTTATAGAAGAAACATCAGTCCTGCACCAAGTTTCACAAAGAAATCCTCTTTTTCTGGGAGGAATTGTTGAGAAAAAGCAAGGAAGCTACATTTTGAATACGCATATTTGAAATTCTAGAATTTAAGGCTTAGCAATGTAGGAATAATTTTGAGTTCTCCTTGCTTCTATACTTACTGTCATGTATGAATTCTTTTTCTTCTGATGCTAATTAACTTAATGTTCTAAGTGGCAGACACTTATTTACGACCCTGCACACATACACCTCTATTAGAGGTCTGGAATGTGGACGGGTGAGTAGGTACATTGACCTGGCTTGACCTCTATCACACTAATTAATTTTAATTGCTTTTCACCCTTGTTACATGATCCCCTAACTCCATGGAAATAGCATGATATTGTGAAGAGCCTGACTTAAAATTAAATACCTGATATGATCCTTTCAAAATCAGATGTGCAATATGATTTAAACATTAAAAACCAAACATTTAAGATGCACAAAATAAAGGAATTGTGTTGTTTAGATTGCTTGTTTTTAATGCTATGCTTATTCTTCCAAGGAATGTCACTCCCTTACACTCTGTTCCTTGACATACACTTCCCGCTCCTATAAATCACCTTCAAATTTACCTGATGATCAAGATTCTTTACACCTGGTCTCTCCTATAACTATAGTATCCCAAGTGACTAACATTTTAGTGGATCTTTGTAATCTCTCTGATAGATATACACACATGTACACTCAGAAGATTCTATCTTCCTTCTTCTTGTTTGTGTTAGTCAGAGTAGACATTTTAGGAATGACAGTCCACCAAGACCCTGGAGAAACAAGGGTCACTGATACTACTTGAGATGACCCTCACTAGTGGTTAAGGGGAATCCAAAGGGATGTGGTGAAGAAGTGCTTTCTTTCCAAGTAGTAACTACTTCCATTTAATACTAATAATGATTACAAATTTAATTTCCTTTTAATGAACCAAGTACCCCTCTTCTATGTGTGAACTGTACTTATACACTGTCTTGTCCTTGTGTTTCTCCAAAAGACCACAGAAAAAACATCCTCCTGAAAGGTTTACATGCTATACTTTACTAACTTAACATTTTTTAAATTTCATTCTGTGCTACATTCACACATTTCAGATGGTGACTGAACAGATAATAAGAGATATATTTTCACCATGGTGTGATGACATTTCTTCAATATGCTATCCAACATATCCAGGTTATATTTATGCAGAAAATACAAAACTGTGTATGGGAAGTGATCTCTAGTATAAAGTTTGCTAAGATATAAATGTCTATTCATAGAGTTACACCTTCCCCAACTTTTAAAAGATGGAATTCTTATAAGGTAAAGAACAGAGATTTCCAATAAGATAAGACTGTAGAAATATAACATCACTAGAACCCAATATATCCATCTCAGATGGTTTAGCTGAAGTGATTACATCTCAATAATGATTTGGGAATCTTGATAATAATTTAGATGACTAAAGTATACCATTACTGATATACTATTCTATGATAAATGTACAATGGTATTTACCTTATAATTTTGATCACATCCATTTGTATCCAAAATGCACATATTTGTACTATATCAAAGCATAGCAACTTCAGGTTATTTAAAGAATATTGCTTGATAAAGAGCTATGAAGACAGAGGAGTCAATGGAAATTCTTATATCATTTCCACCTCCTCTCCCTATTAATTCTTGTGGTATGCAGGAATTGTTTGTTCATGTCCCCACATTGAAGTCTTCCCCCGCCCTCAGGAATACAGGGTATTCGACACATCTTTTAGTGCTTTAAAGATGGTCAGAAAACTTCCTTAATGTTTTCTAATCAAGAGGAAGTGTCAGTGCCCTTCTTTCCTGGAATCTGTGTGAGAGCTATGACTGTTTTAATCAATAAAGCACAGCAGACCTGAAGCTGTGCCAGTTTCTGGGGCCCACACTGCAAAATATTGGCAGCTTCTACTCCCTGCCTCTTGGAACCCTCTTTTTTGGAACTCCAGCTCTAGGTGAAGTCAGCTGCCATGGAAGAAATCTATCCTGAGACCACTATATACAAAGTATATCTGCTAGATCTCTGCTGTTCCAGCCATCCCCTCCCAGCTACCATGATCAGCCAGCAAGAAACCATTTTGGAACTTCTCATCCCAAAAAATACCCCTTGCAGAAGAATGAAGACCCCAGACATGTGGGCCACCCCAGGTATTCTATCAACTCCAGCTGTGGCTAAGGTCATGGTATCTGAGATAAGCTCTCCCTGACATGCCTGTTCTGATTCCTGACCCACAGAATCATGACCTTTGTGGATATGGTCATTATCTTGATTTTGGTAATAGTGTATAGGTGTGTACATTTGTGTGCTTATCAAACATTCTATTTTAGTATTGCAGTTTATTGTGTGTCACTTACACATCAATAAGGCTGCTAATTTTTTTTAATGAAAATGATCTTTGTTTTAGAGCACAGGTGGTTTATAAAATGACAACAGATAATCTAAACATTCCCCTCTTTATTTTTTCCTGATAATTGTTTCTTAAATGTTATTGAAGAATAAACTTGCTATATGAAACTTTACAAGGTATGTTAAATACTACTTTTATAATATTCAACTGATTTCATCACTTCTATATAATCCATACTATAAAGACAATTGAATGAGTTGGCCTATTAAAATTGACATTATAAATTTATCATTGATAATATTGGAATTATTTTTAACTTGAGTGATTTTCCCACCAAAACAAATTTTGAGCATGGACATATTCACCCTCATGTTCCTAGATCCAAGTTCATTCCCTAGAACATAATAGATATTCCATAGTGTTTGCTAAAAAACAATGAAGTTATAGCCTATATGCCACAATGAATCTCACTGTTAGGGTACTGGGGATTGAATTCAGGGTATAATTATAATGCAACAATAAAAAATTAATTAAAAGCAAATGAAGTATGAAATAAAATATCAATTAGAAATCTGGTTTTGGGGGCTGGGGATGTGGCTCAAGTGGTAGCGCGCTCGCCTGGCATGCGTGCGGCCCGGGTTTGATCCTCAGCACCACATACAAAGAAAGATGTTGTGTCCGCCAAAAACTAAAAAAAAAGATAAAATATTAAAAAATTCTCTCTCTCTCTCTCTCTCTCTCTCTCTCTTAAAAAAAAAAATCTGGTTTTTGGTTTAAAATTGTTTTTTGCTTTCCCCCCCTTGGCAGTACTGGGGATTGAATCCAGCGAGACTCTATTCCTGAGCTATAACTAACCCTTTTTTATTTTGAGACAAGATCTCACCGAATTACCCAAGCTGTCCTTGAACTTGTGATCTTCCTAACTAACCCTCCCTTGTCACTGGGATTACAGATGAAACATAACAGGCTTTGTTTTAGTATCTTTATCTAGAACATATTAATTAAAATGTATTGCAAATTATTTCAAGTATCTGTCTAAGGTAGATTCAAGTTTTAGTTCAATGTTCAACCAAAAATGCACATTATAGCAGCTATGGAATGAGTAATAATAGCAAACATTCACTGAATAATTCCCAGATACCAGAACTAGACCTAGCATCTTTCTAGTGACCTCAGTAACAGGTACTACTTGGGTACCTATTTACTAGAAGTATTGGGTACTCTTTTTTGGAAGGGGTACTGGGGATTGAATTCAGGCAACCACTGAGCCACATCACAGCCCTATTTTGTATTTTATTTAGAGACAGGGTCTCACTGAGTTGCTTAGCACCTCACTTTCGCTGACACTGGCTTTGACTTTGTGATTCTCCTGTCTCAGCCTCCCAAGCTACTGGGAATACATGCATGGGCCAGGGTGCCTGGCTTGGGTACTCTTTTTGTATCCAATTTTAAAGGCAATAGAGCTGAGGCTCAAGTGGATAGAGTAAAATATCTAATATTACAAAAGTTTGCATATGACAGAGCCAAGTCCCTTTGATTCCAGCACTTGAATATCTAATCTACTATTTCATTCTCATACCCTTTTTGGGAGAAAAAACATTACAAATACAAGGCTTAGGAATGAGACCTGCAGAGGGACAAAAAAAGAAAAAAAAAGTTTATTTTGCCAATTTTCTTCTTTATTGTAGATCAGATGTCCATAATGGTTACTATTGCAATTCTGTTATAAAAGATTAATCAGTGGTTAAAACAAAAACAAACAAACAAAAATTAAAAACATTCACACAAAGAATTTTAGAGAATCAACTTTTGGTTATAAATGTAACCAAATCTAAAATTTCATTCAACTACTGTCCTTTGTAATTTAAAAGTTATTCAGAAAATATGTTAATATTTTCCAAAGAGTTAATGCAGCCAGTGGGAAAAATCATAAAGTTGAAAATAGAGAAAATTTTTATTTTTAAAAATTCAAACATTAATAATGGAAAGCAAACATGCCTATTAACTCCCAATTTGTATAGATAACTTACAAATATACTTTGGGTAACAAAATTAGAGTTCAGGACAATAAGAGGTAGGAAGCTGGACCTGGTTGTGGCACACACCTATAATTCCAGTCACTCAGGAGGCTGAGTGAAGCAGGAGAATTACAATTTCAAGACCAATCTTAGTAATTTACAGACCCTGTCTAAAAATTGAAAAGGACTGGTAATGTAGCTCAGTGGTAGACGGTATGATTCCTGATCCACCCCCTCCATCCCCACCTTCCAAAAAAATAGGGACGAAGCATGCTTTTTGAAAAATTGATTCTATTAACAGTTTTCTTGATCTGAACAAAAAAAAATCATTTCTAGACCATATGAAATATTTTTAGAGCATTATAGTATTTGGGTTCTTTTTGACAAAATAATACATACAAGGAATTTGATTTAAGTCCCCATTCCCCCTCCCTTTTTCTTTCCTTCTCCTGCTCTCTTTTCTTCTCTCAGTCTTTCTTTCACTCCTTTAATTATTTTTGATTGTTATGTACTGATATATGTTATATTTATGTGTACATATATACAGGTGAAATTCTTTTAGGTACATTTATAGTATGTAACAAGCCATTGTTTGTTTCAAGACTACATGAAAAATTTAAATTTACAAGCTATCCACCAAAAACGTTTTAAAAACTAGCGTTATTATCCGAATTTTAAAAATTTCCAACTTCCTGGTAGTAACTTATGTTTATAAAACATCAGGTAGCATAAGAGAAAAGGACAGATATTCACTGTACTAGTTCAGTCCAATTAATGAACTAGATAATGCCTCAGAGACTAGATGAAAATGACACTGCTTGGATAATTGATTTTTCCAGTTAATAATTAATATTTTATATGACCTGACCAAGTCCATAAACTCCTTTTTCTTTATAATCTCGCCAGTTGCCCTCAATTCCTTTCAAATGCTATTTTATTTATTTATTTAAAGTTATTGATGGATCTTTATTTTATTTATTTGTAGATGGTGCTGAGAATCGAACCCATTGCCTCATGCATGCCAGGCAAGTGCGCTACCACTGAGCCACAACCCCAGCCCTCAAATGCTATTTTAGACTATTGTTCATCTGATACTTGCAAACTTACTAAAAACGCTAAAATAAGTTGCTATAGTTGGTAATTTACTTAGAAGGAAATGTTATCCTATGAGCACTTAAATTCAACCTTCTTAAAATGTCTTTATACAAAAATGACAGTTAATTTTGCCATATAAGACTCTGGGCTCTATAACGAGTATCTTCCTTGAATCTTTTTTTTTTAATTTTTTTTTAGTACAATTATTTTAAACATCGCCAATTTCTGTGACACTTACTTGATGATAGAAATTTTAATATTTTGATAGGTTAATTGGTATTGTTTGTTGACCAGCATGTTCTATTTAGAGTGCTGCTTTGCTATGTGCTAACACATAAGTCTTTGGTGGCAAGTGGTTGCTGGGTTTCCTCATGCCTATACATTCCAGACATTGTTCTCAGTACATGGAGTAAGATGTTATACTAATATATTTTGATGATATTTAACTATCATTATACTACAGTGTAGAGGTAGATTAATTTCATTAAAGTTGTCTGTAATGGAAGATATCTAGGCATAAAATCCCAACCAAAATTTATAGAGATGTACCAACACTTATATGTGATCCTCCCAACACAAATAACAAAATCTGAGGATGCTGAAATTCCTAACATAAAATGGAATAGTATTTGCATGTAACCTACATATATACTCCTATATATATTAAATCATCTATAAGTTACTTATAATGCCTAATACAGGATAGATCCTATGTAAATAGTTATTATACTGTATTGTTTAGGGAATGACAGCAAGAAAAAAGTCCATACATATTCCATACAGAAATAATTTTTTTCTGAGTATTTTAAATCTACAATTCGTTGAATCTGCAGATGCAGAACCTTTGAATACAAATGATCTATGGTTCTTAGTTGGCAGGTCAGTGATTCAAAACTTGCAGAATTAAAAACCTTAAACCTTTCAGTTTCGTCCATCATCTACATCTTTCTATGCCAGTTTCCAAGATCATCAATATAATCTTTGGGAATTGCTAAGAAAACAAATAATGAAAAATACCAGTTTCAAAAACAAAGTTAAGCCAGTAAAATAAGAAAGAAATTGTCTTTGGAGTCAAATTTGAAGACTCCTTGCAATTAAGTCTTATTCTTAACATCCTTGATTTTTTTGCCTCCTGCTAAATTGTCTTCAAAAGTCAACAAAGAATCTCTGAACAATAACTTTACATTCTACATATCCTTCCAAACAATTCCTGAAGCAGTATCTTTGTTTAGTTTCCACATGGGCAGTTTGGGGTGGTTGCATTTCCTTTTTGGAGCACTGAGCTGGAGGAAGGACATGTGAGGAAGAGGAGGGAAAGACTTATAGTCAAGAAAGTGTCATAACCTATTTAAAAAGTGTCAGTCACTGACCACAGAGAAAGCAAAATACTGAAAGAATGTGTAATGCTAAAGGTCTTGCCCCTCACTTAAATATGTTTTCCACACATTATTACATCATTACTAAGCATAATATAAACTCAAGGCAAACACTAATTCAGCTGTCTTGACATTATCTTTAAACTGAATCCTTCAGATTTAAATAGTTAACTATGAAAAATGATTTTACTTCTTTTTCCTCCTTGTATTTCTAAGGATATACCATACCACTCAGTTCTGTATTTTTCATTTAAAGCTCCAAGGAAACAAGATGATTATATAGAACACTCATATTTTGATAGAAGATGGTTGTTATGTTTGTGATGTGGAGTTAGAACCTTTAATTACACCCAATTATATAAAGTGTTACACGTTTTATTTTTGAACATTAAAATTCAAATCCCAACAAATGAGAATAAAAGGTGTTTTGTTCACATTTCCATTACAAGTTTATAAAGTATTGTACTTTTTTCCCCCCTAGGATGAAACACAATTTATATACCGCAATTGAGTTTTCCCCGAGAGCTTTCTTGAAAACTTTACTCATAAATTCAAACTACTCAAATCGTAGTTGATGCTTCCAAGATTCAAAATATTCTTAGAAAATCTTAAAAGAAATCTTTACTATGAGCTGGGATTATAACTCAGTGGTAGAGCACTTGCCTAGCACATGTGAGGTACCGAGTTTGATCCTCAGTACCACATAAAAATAAAATAAAGGTATTGTGTCCATCTACAACTAAAAAAAATATTAAAAGAAAAAACATATTTACTACATAGAAAGTTTTTTTTTTTTTCAAATGATGTCAAATCTTCATCTGTGAAGGAAAGGTCTGACTTCTAGAAAATCATTATCTCTATGTATTAGGCAGATCAAACTAGGAATGATTATGATTTCGTTTCCATGAAAGTCGTAATTATAAACAATAAAATGTATTTCCATGTGTGTCTTAGAAACAGGGATTTCAAAGTGCCTCTTTGGTTGAATATATTCTAGACAAAAAAATTATCTCAATTTCACCTTGTCCTACGTTTAACTTAAAAAAAAATACAAATATGTAGCCATGACGTTTGTTTCTTATATGTAATTCATTTGTAATTGCTATATTACTAGAAAAAAAACAGAATCCCTTTAGTTTTGGTCAACTACAATCCTATTTAATACTTTTTTAAACATCAAAAACACAAAGAAAACCTTAACACAAATTTATTGAAATTCACACCTAGCCTTTTAAAGTATTTATTTCCATTTTCAGAATGGCATTCTTGGGCATAATTTAAAGGAGTGCTCAAATTATAATCTCAACAGGGACTGGGAGAGTTATGATGAAAAGCATTTTAAAATTCTGTTTGCTACACCTTGCTTTAAATACTTTCATATACCTGGGAAATGGAAAGGGAAAAAAAATGCTCAGTGTTCCCAGTGAATGATTAAAGGGAAGGCAGAGGCTAATAGTCTATTACTTAACTGATTTTTAAAGTTAAAACTTGGACTATATTAAATTACACTACCTTTCCACTTGCTATTCAAGAATCTATCTAAATTAGGAGTTCGAAGAGCACCTTACCCTAAATCCTTAAGCTAAATTGCAAAGTTCTATTGTTTGTTTCTAATTCATATGATGAAAAAACATACATGAATTGCAGCATTTGTCAGTTATCAAGTTCTATAACTAAAATTGACCTATGGGCAAATAAATCATCTTCAATGTATAATAATTTTATATTCAAGTACAATATCAAAACATATCCTCTAAATCCTATCAGCTGAATAATAGTAAACCTTTTAATACCTAAAGTTTTAAACTTTTCTCTAAAAACTTATGTTTGAAAATAAGCTTTGTAAAAAATCCTATTTTAGCAGGCTTGATAATATCAACTGGTAAAACTTTATTTTACAAGCAATAGGAATTGGACCAAATGATTATTATAATCCAGAGGAAGTATTTTATAACCACAGCAAATGCCATTATACATACTGCCAATACAGATTTAATAGACAATACTGAACTGTACAAGAATTATTTATTTTTCCTTAATCTCAAAGCTATTTTTAGTAGTACAAAAAAGCCATTATTAACATTTTTCCATTAGAAAACAACATGATGTACAAAACTTTGGATGAAAAGATATGTCAAATTTCATTTAATAACTTGGAGGAAAATCCATCACTCCCTCAATACCACCCAAAGTGTATAGGCAGTGATTAAAATCAAAATAATGCATCTTAATAAATCCCAGCGGTTAAAAGAACAAAACTAGCAATTTATAATAGTTTTCTACACAGTATTTTTCACAACTCACTTTGGGAGTTTTTTTTTTTTTTTTAACTGAGCCCTACTACATGCCAGGCACTGTACTTGGCCAACTAGGTATTTGCAAAAATGTTAGTTAAGGTGGGAAAGACCCATAAATCAGTCCTTTGGTTACCAGATTTGATTTTTAACTTACAAACATCCTCCAAGATCAAGAAATTCTAAAAATACACACCCTTCCAAATGTTACTTGACTTTATTAGTAGGGAGGGTGTTTAGTACAGAGAAGTCATGAACCATTATTTTTGACCCATTATTCCAATTAAAAGAGCATATCAAAAAGCTAATTTGTTAATTTTCCTAGTAAGATTTTGGCATTCAGGTGTTACAATTGCAGTTCACTGGTTTTTCATGAACCCTACCATTGCAAGTTGCTCAAAAACAGCAAAACAGCTGCGCATGAACAATTATGCATTTTAAAAAGCAATGGTATTTGATAAATATTAAAATTAAATTCGATATAGCATCCAGTGAACAAAAATATCCAGTTATGGAGTGCTAAAGAGCAGAGAGGTAAACTAGGAAGGATTAATACATAAGAGTATTTATCATTTCTTTTGAATAATAAGCTGCTAATATACTTTCATTAAAATAAAAAATGGTTGCAACTATGCTAAAGGCCCATAAACTGACAAGGTTGTCCATCTGACACCATAACTTCATTACATAAGTCTGTTTTCTTAAGGTATAACATAATCTAAGCAATAATTTGGAAATTAGCCAACTGCTAAGCAATTACAATGGCAGGTAATACACCATCAACTTTTAAAACACATTTGGCCACTTTTCATGACCCATCTGTGGTTCAGATTCAATAGACTCTCACTCATTTTATAAAATTTAAGTTTCTGGACCTGTATGACAAGAAAATTATTTTATGAAATATTCTCATAAGACATTTAATAGTCTTAGGGTCACACCACTTTTGTTCTAAGTGACTTAATCTGACATGCTATATAGCTACAATAAAAAGTTATGTTCAATTTTTAAATGAAAACTAAATGCAGATAAGTGGTAACAGATTGAACATGGAATGTTATAAGATCTTCCTATATATGTAATCAGACACTGCTGATTATGGATTTCAGAGCTTGAAAAACTTCAGATTAAAAATCACAACCAAATTTACTCTTGATAGCATGCAAGATCTTTTTAAAAATTAACCTAAGACCTAGAAGTCTCAGTATTATCAGAACATAAAGAAACACAACAAATTTGTACATTTTATTCACATTTATTTTTCGCTTTTAGTGTGCTCACAGAAAATTAGAACACCTTAAGCAGGAGTTTAATAGCAATTTTTGTAAGCAAAGTTACATTCCATCTCTAAGTCAAATTGGTCAAAGCTTCTCCAGTATTTACAAAACATGATAGACAAGATGCTACACAAAACCATTGCATCTGAAGTTTTTTTTTTTTTCCTTTATTCTCAAAGACAACTGGAAAAGAAAGCATTGTCTGCTGTAATCAAAACCATACCACAGTATAAACAGTAACCATTCCACTTATCACAGCTTGGTTGAGTTTAAAATTTGTGATTAAAAGGTCCAAGATGACTGCAGTTTTACAAAAATGGGCAGGGTGAAAAGTTGCAAACTTCATGTGCTTCTGGATATCAAGATTTGTTTTTATACAATAGTCACAGTTAAAAACACCCTGCTGGTAATACATAATTACACTTTATTAAGGTCATAAACCAGCAATAAACAATAAAGCCTATACAACTTGTAGTTCTACTTAATCACTGACTGGTACAGCTAACATGAGATAAGTGAAAAGTTCCTATGGTTTAAATGAACTCCTAAGACTATGATCTTTTTTTAAAATCTGGGTATTGGTGTTTTTTTTTTTTTTTTCTTTCCTTCTTACTCAAGACTTGTAGTGTTGTAAACCTGCCTCACAAAATACATCGTAATAACTTTTCTTTAAAAAAAAAAAAAAAAAAAAGACTAAGCCTCTACACCATCATTTCTAGTGGCACATTATCTTGGCAATGTTATGCACCACTTCATTTTCTTTATTGTGGCCCCTAATCACTTCATTTGATATCCCTTTTTGACCCACCCATCTCCTTCATATATGGGCATGTCCATAGGTTGACAAAGAAAGTTTACATTTTTGAATAAAGATGCAAAGTATGCAAAAAACATTAATACTGATGCAAAAAAAAAAAAAAAAAAAAAAAAAAGAAAAAAAAAACAAGGCAGAGGAAGGTGTTTTAAGCTCTCCTCGACCAGTTGGAATGGTGGTAACAGAATGATTTGAGATGGGATCTGTGGGGAAAGGGGGAAAAAAAATTACTGCTAAAAAAAGTCAAAAAAAAAAAAAAAAGGAAGACGAAAAGAAAAAGAAAAGAAAAAACATCTTTAAAATCAATCCCTGGTTGTAGACAAGTTCTCCAAAACCAGTACCTGGCACCACTCCAACAAACAAACGGGGGAGAAAAGTTCTTCGATTATCTCATAACCTCTGGCCCTTTTACTCTGCCGCCTCTGTTGGGGGCGCTTCTGGACTGCACTCGGGCTGCGCCTCCTGTGATGGGGCTGCGCAGGCAGAAGAGGCGCAGGCGGCCGCGGGCTCCTCTGCGGAGGCCACCTCCTGCTCAGGGGGCGCGCCAGACCCCGCGGCGGAGGGCGCCTCACAGGCGGCGGCGCTGGCCCCGGCCTCCTCCACCTTCTCTGCGGCCTTGGGCTCCTCTGCGGTCTTGGGCTCCTCGCAGGCGGCTGGCTTCTCTGGCGCGACGGCGGCCTCCTCGGGCTTGGCCTCCTGCGGGTCGCCACCTGCCGCCCCCTCCTCGCCCGCGGCTGCCTCCTCACTTGGCGCCACCGCCTGCTCCCCGGGGGCCGCCCCCGCCTCAGCGGCGGCAGCGGCGCCCCCGGCGGCCTCGTCCTTGCCGCCCTCCGCGGTGGCACTGGCAGCGCCCTCGGCCTCACCGCCCTCTCCCGCCTCCTTCTTGTTCTTCTTGAAGGAGAAGCCACTCAGCTTGAAAGACTTCTTGAAGGAAAAGCGCTTCTTTTTTTTTTTCGGGGTCTCGTTGCTGGGCGAGGGTGTGGCCCCGTCCTCGGCCTTGGGCGAAGACGTCGAGGAGGCGGCCGATGCAGCCTCCCCCTCGGCGGCCGTGGGCGAGCCTGGCTCCGCGACCTCGCCTTCGGCGGCGGCCTCCTTCTCCACAGGGCCAGCCCCGGGCTCGGGGGCGGCGGCGGCGGCGGGCTCATCTTTCTCGGCCGAGGCAGGGGACGCAGCCCCGCTCCCGGCGGCCGCGGGCTCCTCCTTGTCGGCGGCGGGAGCGCTGCCATTGGCCTGCAGCTCCTCCTTGGCGCCCGGCTCGGCG